CCAATCAGGAGAGAGGCGATACTTTTAAAAAATTATGAAATCTTTCAAGTTTATTTGTTCTAATTACCCAGCTGACAGCTGAGGGGAGGAGGAGAAAATCATCGGGGTATTACTGCCACAAAACAGTTGTAATTGAATCATTCCAGACAATAAAGCAGAGGCGCAGGTCACAGGCAGCGCATTGCTCCCCCCACGCCAGCCCCCCAACACCCCTCACTGCCGCACCGCAATAAAAACACACCGATACGAGGAGATACCGCTCTAATAGCGGCCTATTACTGCTAATGGAAATGCAAGCGTGTTATCTGTGCCTGTCACCCACGCACAGAGCAGGAACCGCTGAGCAGGCTTGGGGATAATGAGTTTACACGCTGCGGTTTGATTCCTTGTGACATGCAAAGACCGTTCCCGGGCAGGGGGTGCAGCTCTCCCCTGGGACACCCTCCCACCAGCAGGCTGCCCCCAGCTCTTCCAGCCCTGGCTGCGGTGACAGCAGGGTGGTGGTGCAGAAGGGGTCACGCTCACTGTGCAGCTGGGACATGGGGTGAGCGACCCCCGAGGACGGCAATGCCTCAGGGATGCTGAAGGGAGCCACCAGCTCTACCTGTTCAGGCTCAGCCCCGCCAGGTTGTGGCAGGTTGTCATGAAAGGCTTTGCCCAGGCTGCGCTTCTGGCTAGCAGAGCCATTGGTCCTGCCTGTTTCTGGGCTTCTGCTGGGCTCTGGGATTGCCCCAACCTGGCACAGCAAAGCCTTGGGCTGTGTCACTGAGGGCAAGTGCCAGAGGAACATCCCACCGCTGCAGCAGAAGCCCCAGCAGCACCCAGAGGCAAGCGGAGGTTGGCCCAGGGGGATGTGCAACCAGACACCGCACAAGGGAGCACAGGAGAGCCACCACAGGGTGGGGACCCCTGAGCGATGTCAGCCCTCACCTATCGTGATTCCCACCCCCCAGGTGTGCAGCTTGACACACTGCGAGGCCACGAGCCCGGGCACCGGGGAGACACCGGGCAAAGAAGCAGGAGGTGGGACACAGTCCCAGCTCCATTTCTGCAGGTAGCTGTGCTTGATGCAGCCCCCACGTTGGGATTTGCACACCGACTCTTGGCCAGGGCTGCAGCCCAGTGCCCGGCTGGCTCCCCCGGCTCGCGGCCAGCAGCACAGACCAGCTCCCCCGCTGCCAGCTCGGTGCTTTACCAAAGCACCCGCCACCCTCCCACCACACACCCACC